GGCCAGCAAAGTCACTTCCCTTGCTCCAAATCCAGACAAAAGTCATGAGCCACAGTTTTCACTGCAGGGCTTCATAAATGAGCCATACTTTCTCCAGCACAAATTCAGTGCTATCATCTTGGCGCTGGTGAGGCCACACCTTGAGTACTGTGTGCACTTCTGGGCCCCTCAGTTCAGGAGGGATATTGAAGTGCTGGAGTGGGTCCAGAGAAGATCAATGAGGCTGGTGAAGGGAGTCGAGCACAAGTGCCATGAGGAGAGGCTGAGGGAGCTGGGGATGTTTAGCCAGGAGAAGAGGAGGCTCAGGGGAGACCTTATCACCTTCTACAACACCCTGGAAGGAGGTTGTAGTCAGGTGGGGGTTGGTCTCTTCTCACAGGGAACTAGCAGTAGGACAAGAGGGCACAGACTCAAGCTCTGCCAGGGGAGGTTTAGGTTGGATATTAGGAAGATATTTTTTACAGGGAGAGTGATCAGGCATTGGAATAGGCTGCCCCAGGGAGGTAGTGGATTCACCATCTATGGGAGGTTTTCAAGATGACACTGGATGTGGCACTTAGTGCCATAGTCTAGTAACCACAGTAGGGTTGGACTCGATTATCTTTGAGGTCTTTTCCAACCAGGTTGACTCTGTGATTCTATGATCTCCCAGTGACTGAAGGTGAAAAATGTAGATTTGACATTCATTTCACTGTCTGAATCCCTGTAATCTCAGACCCACAACAGTTTGGATTTAACATCTCAAGTCCAGCAAAAACATATCTAAAAGTTTAAACTGGGTCTGCTGCTATACCCCATACAAACTGAGAGTAAAGATGGTCTCTCACAAAAGATTGGAAAGTAAATACTGGGCCATGGAAAGTTTATTCACTTTTTTAATAAACACATAAAAATATGGTTGCTGTAGAAACTGAATGAAAATACTGTCCTCCTGCCAATGGACATCTCTCATTCTCCAGGCAAGACTAATTTCCTCTTCACTGAAAATAAGTTTGAAAGTGGTTCTACTATTGCTATTTCAGTCATGATTCATTAAAATATGCATAGAAATAAAATTGCCTGAAAAATTGATTCTACAATAGCTCAAGTGTCTTTAAAGTACAACATTACATTTATGCTTTCCAATTATTTATGGTTGATGGCAACCATTTCACTGATCTGGGAGAGAAAGGGCTCAGTACCAGCCCATAATAAGATCCTAATTTTTCACTTTAGAACAGTTGCTCTTTGTTGATTCCACATATCAAAAGCAACTCCTCTCAAATTGGACAGACCCACTCTCTGTGCTCTTTAATGCTAAAGACATAATATTAGTTACCAGAGCTGCGTGAAGAGCATCCTAGGATATGTTTTATGAAATGCACTGACTAATGCTTTGGCAAGGCAGCTGAGAACAGAGCAAAGGTCCAGTATTTCAGTCCATCTAGAGAGGCTTTCAAGGTGTCTCCATAATATGAAGCACTTACTGTCTACTGCCTCTTTCATTTACCCTGACAGTGACAAACTTTCCCATTTTGCAACAGCAAGACACCAGCAGATGCTCACCACAGAAGTTCCTACACTGGATTTGCTGCCTGCGTTGGGAGGACAGGGACCTGGTAGGAGGCTCATGTATAGCAAGAAAAGTAAGAGCAAGGGCCAAGGTTGTAAGTCATTTGGACACTTCTAAGTTTATAAATAAGCAAGCACTTCGCATAGTGCAGCTCTGTTGGACACCAGTTACACACACTCAGGGACAGACCCTACACCACCCATGCCTCAGGAGGGATGGAGGTCAGGAAGCGCAGAGGGTTGTGGCAGAACCGTGTTGAAAACTTGTATTTCTAACAGATTGCCCTCACCTCACTTGCACCAATGCATATTTCACTCACAGTCACCCAAGGTGCGAAATTACAAACTTGGGAAAAGCAGCAGACTCCCATTTCATGATCAGCAAGCAAGTATATACATTTCTAAAGGACTTGTAAAAGATGTCTTCAACAGTTCGCCTCATCTTTTTTTGTATTTTACATTCATGTGATTACACACTACTTTCCTGAAGGGTAAACATCTTAACCTCTTTGAAATGTCACCCTCAGTAAAGAAACATGTTCTACCTAATTTGTCCTCATTTCCACTCATCCAAAATCCCATTAAAGTCAAGTGTACTTCTTTTCTTTTTTTTTTTCCCCCTCTCAGTATTCATTTACCAGCGAGAACAGTGCATTTTATCCCCAGGTTGTAAAAGCTCACATACAGAAATACATTTAATTGGTTTAAAGACTTAAACATAAACTCCTCCCACCCCCTCCTCACTGAAATGGCTCTCCAACAACTGAGAAAAACAGTTATATAATACAGAAATGCACAACTGCATTGCAAGTCTCAGAAACATTCGCAAGTGATTTTGGCAATGCTTTAGCACCTCTGATTAGCGAGGTTATATCCATGTAGACTGAACAGAAAGACCTAAACCAAGTAACTCTGCTTCTTCCAAAGCATGCCCTGGGCACCCTTCTGTACCCAGCATGTGTGATAAATCATAGCCAGCAGTCCCCTGCTCCATACCTGCTCTGACAAACACTGGCACTATGGCTCAAGGGAAAAGGACACTGCCCACATGCAAAATGTGGGATTCTGCTGGCACTCAAGTCCCAAGCATCCCCAGAGGCAGGGGGTGGGAAAGCATGGGGAGAGGAAAGGAGCCAGGCCAGGTGTTTTCTGCCTCATCTCACAATTGCCCTAATCACTGCCATTTTCCCTCTGTCACCTGCATGCCACAACTCCTTTCTTTTCAAATATTCAAATGTTTTAAAACTTAATTTCATTTCTCATTACCACTAAGTGCTGGACATGATGAAGATGTAAACAATTTAAAAAAACTGGCATCTATCTTGCAAAGACACCATACTAAACCGTACTTGTTGTAGGAGAAATGTGGCGTTTTTACGTATTATGTTGCTACGTCGTCCATGTACTAGGGCAAAGTTCAAAATTTTAAATGCAATTATGTTAATAACTACAAAATATCATGCAAAAAAACAAATTTTAAAACTGAAGAGTTCTTCCTCACTCCACGTCTTCTTTTCTGGGCAATGTGTTCCTATTTCCTCCTCTGCTGCCTAATACAACTCATTAGTTGAGTTCACTTTTCTGCACAGTTATTTCTAAATTCACCTAATTTTACTGAATTACTAATTAATAGAGAAGCATTGCAAACAAGTATCTAACAGAAATCACACAAAATAACTCACCACTGCCATTAATATGAGAGACCAAAGCAGCTCATGCTACCTCCTGATTGGAACTGACATTCCCTATCCTTCTGCAACACACGTGCATGATAACACACACAGAGTTTTCCTGTGTTATTTGCTAAATATGGCAGTTGGATATTGTTTAATGTTACTTTAAAATATAATCAGCCCTTTTGTTTCCATCCACAACAAACACACCTCATGAACGAGACAGTCCCTGCACCATCCACACACCAGGAGGGCTGGAGGTCAGAAAGCCCAAAGGGTTGTGGCAAAACTAACTGCAAAGAGTCTTTGTAATGGGAAAGGGAAAGACGAGGGGATTAAACATGCAGACTACAGAAGTCAAAGCAGAACAATACTGCAACTTCGGATATTTTGCTGTTTGGAACATTTTTTTGTTGTAAAGGGCAAACATGCAAAGCAGCAGGATCAGTTTTTCAGCCCCAAGCCTGATGCCCATGAATTTACCTCTGACAACCTCTTCCACAGACTCTGTAGTTGTGGTGGTAGTGGTTGCAATACTAGTAGTTCTTTCGGTTGCCTCCTCATACTCTGTCTCTTCTTGAATTTCATCACCATCATCATCATCGTCATCAGCATCTTCATCTTCCACAACAGTGAGCTCCTCATCTTCTTCTGCTTGTTCTTCTACTGCCTTATCATCACTAAATGAAGAAAATGTTCATGACATGTCAGTAACAAAGTTACTTCAATATAACATGAAAGAACGTATTATTCAAAAACTCTGTAAGGCAAATAAACTACCTGGGTCCTTAATCTCTCTCCCTTCCCTTTAAATAAAAGAGAAAGAATCAGGGACTCTGGAATGTCCCAAATAGTAAGAAATCAAAAATGCTTAAAAAAAATTATTATTAAGAAAGGTCAACATAAGCAATTCAGTGGGAAAATTAGCAAGATGCCATGCTGGATTTTTGGATTTTACATAGGGACGGAAAAAGAATCTCCATCAGCAATACCATGTTTTGACAGCTCAATAAACAGTGTAAACAGGCTTGCTTAATGCTGCCATCAACCAAACAACTTTTATTTTGAAAGAAGGCCAAATTTGCTCAAAATGCACTCAGCTGATATGAGCACAGAATAAGAGAGTTCCTCAGAACTCCCTTACCCAGGAGACAGCTCATTCAGAGAGTCCCTGTGGACTACCATGCATGTCTCTCACAGAGGACTATCAAGTGTAGAACTGACCTTGAATTATCTATTCACTGCTGCGTTTTTTTCTTCTGCTGTTACAAGTGTGTGAATGGAAAGGACACTTCTACAGGACACCAGGAGGAGATACTGAGGCTGACTATCAAATGCATTTGGTGACTTAATATGTCAATAATTTTCTGGGATGAATTAGTTCTGAATTACATAAACAGGCCAAAAAAAGGTACGCTCTGCTACTGTTCCTGCTGCCTTTGAAATGCTTCCTAAGCTCAGTCCCAGCTGTGGCAAGGTTTCAGGTTTGTTAATTTGATCTTCCACTTGAAATTTACTACTAATGAATAAATGATCTTTAAATATTCAAACATGCAGTGACTTTCTGTCACCTTCATGCGCAAGTAAGTGTGAATCTTTATCATAGTGTCACATATGCTTGAACAGCCTTCTAGGTAAAGTTAACAACTTCTCTCCTTCACCTCAATTTGAAGGCCAAGCCTGTAATATTTCATTTTATGTTATGCTGCCTCCTACAACTTTGAAAGAGAACTCAGCAAAAAAGGGAGACAGTATGATTCTTTTTTTTAATGGGGGTATTAAGAAGTTGCTAAAATTTTTTAATGCCACAAGCCTGACTCTACTAGGAGAAAGTTAAATTTCTACAGAAACAAGAATGATTTCCCTGTTCCCTCCTCCCCAAAGTATCAGGCCTCCAGAAACAAAAGAGACTTAAAGTAATAGTGAAGCTTTCCACTAGGGGAAGCCCAGGTAGGTTATACATATGGATGTGGTTGAAGTCACCTTGCAGAGAAGTGCAGAAGAGATGCTGTTTCCATTTATATGGGGAAAAAAATGGAAAAAGGGGCACACAAAACCACTTGGCTTTTCTCTTAATTTTTCTAGATTTCTAAAAACTGGGATAGAAATTTCACCATCTCCACCATAGGCTTTTCACAGGAAAACTAATTTTGCCATGACTGAAATTTCCAGCTTCACTTTTAGTAACTCTTTTTCTGAACAATGTATTTTTCAGGCTTTATTTTCCTTATCAAGTATTTCACATTTTCACAAGCACAAAACAAACACTGTACATAAATCATCACCTTTGGACTACAAAGGTCCAGTATCTGCTGCTTATCTGCAGGTTAAGAGGCTTCCAGTGTTGGCTCGCTACAGACATCTGAACTAGGCATACTGAGTATAAGACATCCAGATTTTGATCAAGAGTATCAGACACTATATGCTTTTCAACATTAAAGAAAGCTGCTTCTTCTCCCACCTAAGCTACAAGCACAGCATGCTTTAAAAAATTGCAATTATTTTTCCTCATCCTTTCACATGAATGATCACTCTCAGATACTGGCAAGCTCATAAAAGCTAGAAAAGGACAACAAAAACCACCTAATGAAACAAACAAAGGAAAGCCAATTAGTCACATGGAAACAACTTCAAAAATAAATTTTATGCAGGCATCCAATATCCATCTGTTTTTAGCTACACAGAAGCAATCAACTCAGCTGTGAGTCCACAGCATTTTGCTGTGAAATTCTCAGCATCAAGGCCAAGCTTTTTTCTGTCTTTGGCATTATTTTTTCTTAATTTTTAAGGGGCATAATGGTGAGGAGGGCAGGAAGAAAGAGGGCAGTACTCTGTGTGCACTGGCTGGCTGTGCCAGCCATTCCAGAGGGCCCTGGTTCCCTCTCCAGTAACCTACAAGAAGCAAATGCTTAAAGAGTATGCCCACCTGCCTCCCCTTTATGACTTGCTGTTAGCTGAAAAACCAGATATCCGTGAGCGTAAAAAAAGGCCAGAAGTGGTGGAAGACTGCAGTAGTTTTAGGGATCAGACTCCTGAAAATATTCTTAAAAGCTTGCATCCAAATGTACTAGAATTTTCTTTCTATTGTTTTGATCAGTCCCTGAAAAATTCTGTTTCTGCTAGCAACATATTCTGCAAGACTCAATCACAAGGTCATATTTCACAGAATTATATTTCATCCCCCGTTTCAAGAAAGAGGAACAATGGAAATACAAGTGGGTTTACCTTAGATTTAGAAACCAAAATCGAATTGAAACCCTTGCTATATACTAAAGAGAAAGAAGATACCTGCAATTGGGCTTGAAAAAATAATTTCCCTATTCAACAGGCTTTAAAAACTCTCAGGTCTGGCATTATTCTGATGGTTTAATCACACTCAGCTATACTGTGTAGTGTAACAGCCCAAACAGCATGGATACACTGCAGTCAGGGACATACCCCAGCAAGGCCTAGCAGCAACCAAGTTTTCCCATTAGGGATCAAGGCTGCCCACTAAGTCAGGCAGCCCTAAGAGTCAATTGCTGGAATCATGCTTGGCAGTGCCAACAGAAGTGTCCCAGGGCCCTGGTGAAGGAGGGGGTCTCCCAGTGCTTGTCAGTAATCAGAGGACTTTGAGTCTCATGCTTGAAGGTGATGGTTTAGTATCAACAATGCTCCATCTTGATGTGCTTCTGTTGCAAACAAAGAGAGACCATGGACTCAGCATATTTTTAATATTAGCAAAGGTACGTCTTGTAAGAAACATGTAACAGGCTTGGATGTTTTCCCTTGGATATAACCACTGTTATCATCACCCTGGCTCTTCTTCAAAGAGCACACATGTGAGAGGGATGACAGAGTAAGGGAGAAGGGAATATAGCATGAACTTTTCAAATGGGGCAAACCCCTCCCCCTGCTGCACAGCCTGCAGAGCTGCTTCTCCCCACCATGCTAAATGCCCTGGTACCACTCACATTTCAAAATCAGCACCACCAGAGTGCTGTTTCCCAGACAGCACATCTCACCTCAAGCTGTATTATCATCATCTGAATTTAAAAGTTCAGCAGTAAACAGAGGTAAATTGTTAGGTTTGAATGCAGCCATGAACACACCTGCAACCTCCTCCCTGCATTAGTACATCCCAATCTCCTCCCTGTGGAGACTTCTGGCAAGGAGGGACAGAGCTTTCCTTTCACAGTGAACACAAAGGTCATCATGGCTTTGAACCTTCTGCTTCAACCTCCTCACATACAGATACTGAAATCCATTTCCCCCATAATTGAAATTGATGGTTCCCTCGAGTGTACAAGTAGCACACCAGGTCATTAATATAAACCATCTACAATCTTCTGTGGCGAAACAAGGTATTTGAAATTTGGTGGTTCCAGGTGGTTTGGATGTCACAGACACACTGGGATTCCAGGAAGCCTTAAGAGGTAATTAGTTCCTTCCTGACTCCAGCAGAAACATACTGACCACTCCAATGGGCATATTTCTGGTTTTAAAACACAAACCACTGTACAGCTCCTGCTAACGTGTACCTAAACACATAGTTACAAGCAATGTTTAAACCATCGACCTGTACTTGTGTATCTATTTCCTTTTCCCAGTCAATCACTGCAGTAAGAGTCAGCAGCAATGTATTATTTATTGACCTCACTCAGGAACATGCATCGTTCTGTTACTTTATGAAGGTAAAACTGAAGACAAGGTAAATGAGAGCAAAGGAAAGCCATGTATGCTACCTCCTCCTGTCCAAGAAATAAAATGTTAGCAAACAAAACTTTTCTTTTTGTATTCCAGTAATCTGCAACAGGGACAGAAGCAGAAAATATATGACAAGAACGAGGAGTTTCTTTCTAAGGGTGTTTCAGAATTCATTGAGCTGCAACTATTAACTTCATTCAAAAATGTGGCAAAGCTTTCAACCCAGGATAACAAACCACTATGGACCAATTACTGATATCGGGAAGTGTCGTGTTTGTCTGCAATAAATGCTCATCCATTTGGATATATTTAAACCATGATTTTGCCAAGTAACTTGAACAAAAACATATACTTCACCAGTGGGTGACAGAAAGAATGCAAAGGTGTTCAAGACAGATGTTTTAATATCTGGAAACATTAGCTTTCACTACATTTTGCAACTGCATTTTACTGCAGATAGAGTCCATCTTGACTGTGGTTTTCACCAGCCACCAAGCCTGAGCAAATAGCTGGGGAAAAGCTAATTCCAACCAAATCATCATCAGCAAGAAGTCTATTTTTTTGAAGCACAGGGGAGGTGGGAACAGACAGCAAGGGAAGAATTAAACTGCACTGCAGTTGTGAGATTTGGCACACAGCCAGGAAAGAAAGGAGTTGTGCCAGACATCCAGTCTATGGAACTGATTTTTCGAATAGCTTATTGGCATCAAAGTCTGGAAAATTAAACTGACTTGCAGAATTGAACACCTAACCCACAGCAAAAATGCTTCTGGTCTGCCTGTTAAGTGCCTGCAAAAGCATAAACTGCTCAAAAATTGCCTTAGTTATTTTCATCAGGGTTGGATTATACTACACTAGTAAATTTGGTATCTCAAGAAGAAGAAATAATGTCATATTTGGATACATACAAACATGTATTAAGAGACTGTTAACCTTTAAAGAACTCAGGAAGGCATTTCTATTGCACAGCATGTCAGGACAAGCAATACATTACTCCTAGCACTTTTCAGACATTCAGTTTATCATACCTAATTATTTCCCTTTTTGTTTTCTTTACTGAAGAGGCTGCAATTAACTTTTTCACATTTCCCAATAGAAAAAAAATAACTAAATAAGCTATTTCAAGGGTGTCACATAAACTTCTCCTGAGTTCTCAGACCTTTTCAAAAAACTGAATTATGTGCTTTCAGACTGTCTATCTCCTTTTACTTTGGCTAACCTTTTATACAAAAACAATGCCAGAAAATGTGCCTGTTTTCATTAAATTTGTAGAAAACAAGAAAAGTTGCACTAAAAATCTTTCAATCCAATTTTTGAATAAACACTTTTAAAAACCAAACAGACATTCCCTGCCCTACTGCCACCAACAGATAAATTTACCTTTTCCCCTGTAATTAAGCAATGCATTTTATACTGTTAGGAATTTATTTCCACAGCTGACCTGCTTAAAAAACCACAAGTACAATGCATCTGTGGCATTTCATCTCACAGAAGGTACC